CGTTTTGCTAAATTTAATTTATATTAAATCAAAAAATATTACTTATAACAGTTTGGGAACCACCGTCTCAACTCGCCTTATCATAGTCTTTTATAGTTGTTTACTAAAACCTTTTTTGCTTATGCGTAATGTGCATGCTATTTGTGTACCTATTACCTACTTTCAAGGGATTGCATTACATTGTTTAATGTTAAGTAAGTATGAACGCTTTTATAATATGAAGATACTGTATAATTTCCAGGTATTGTATTCCTTTTGCTTTGCATTTTTATTTAACGAATTTTTATTTACTTACCTGATGAGTTACGTTTACCTCTCCATAAAAGTACATTCAATTAAGAACTACGAACGTTGCTTACTACCGTCGTCTTTTATTATTTTATTTTCCTCACCAAATGTACGGAAGTTTAGCGGCTTGTATTACAACGATATAACAACGGTAAAACTTACAACAACAATCTCAACTTCACATTTTTTTCTTTACACTAAATCACTTTTTTTGAGATACGCCATTGAGTTTATGCTTACATTATATATTATTTCTAGTAGTATCTCCAAATTTCATATACTTTATATTATTATACATTATTATCATTTCAGACCTGACACCAGATTGTTATGTATGAGATGCCGCTTTAAAGACCTGATATTTTTATACTTTTTGTTGATACTGCCCTATATAAAACTTCTACATGGGACCTTATATTTTGGCCTTGCGCTGATTATAATAATTACAAAATGTCCTATAATTAAACTTGTGGTTATAGCTACTGTAAGTTTAATTATAGTATCTCATTTCTTGTTCTGTATTTCTGTATTTAAGTTGTATACATGTAAACAGTCAAAATGACCTCATTATATGTGTATTACCAGAATGTTAGAGGGCTGAGAACTAAAGCTGAAAATTTTTATCGTAATGTGGCGCTCAACAACTATGACATTATTTCATTAACGGAGACGTGGTTACTTGGTGGCATATCTGATGCTGAGTTATTTGACGATCGCTACTACGTTTGGCGCCGCGACCGTGATCTCAATAAAACAAAACAATCGCGAGGTGGGGGGGTTCTTATTGCTTTGCACAAGAGAATAATCGCAAAAGGAGAACCTAAGTGGTATTCGGAGGCAGAAGATTTTTGGGTTTCAATGACACTAAAATGCCCTTACTCTAAACACCCCGTTAAACTCAATATTTGCACTGTTTATCTATGCAATGAAAATATGGGCGCATGCTTCTCCGATCAAGTCTTCAATTTCTGTAATTCTCTTGAGTCAATAGTATCAGCTAATCCGAATGACAAATTCTTAATTCTGGGTGATTTTAACATGAGCTCTATTACATGGTCCCATACACTGAGTGGTATCGAGGGTTGTGGCGCCAGGGGCGAACATGTACAATATTTCTTAGAAACTTTGAATTTTTGTGATCTTCAACAATTTAATACAGTTTATAATTCCTACAACCGAATACTCGACTTAGTTTTGTCGAATGACTATGTAAATGTAAATCATTGTCTAGATCCCTTAGTTTTGGAAGACCAGCATCACAAGGCTTTGATAATTTTTGTAAACTTTGATGTCCAGCCTCTGACTCGTAACAAATTGACCTCTTATTCTTACAATAAAGGCGACTATAACCAAATAAATTTAGACATTAGTTCGGTGAACTGGGATGAAGTTCTTAGTAGAGTTAATGTGGATGATGCTGTCGAACTGTTTTACGAGACAATATATAATATTCGTGACAAATATATTCCTTCTCGTATACAATGTAATAGCAAATACCCACCATGGTTTAATCATGCTATTGTCAGATTAATCAAAGAAAAGAATAAGTACCACAAGAAGTTCAAAATCTATGGAAATTTATATGACAAAATCACCTTTGAAATTTTGAGAGAAAGGATTAAACGGATCGAAAAGACACTTTACAATGAATATATTTGTCGCGTCGAAGATAGTCTAAAAAGTCATTCTAAAATATTTTGGTCGTATATTCGAAACAAAAGTCGGGGTGCATCTTATCCTTCTCGTATGACTTATTCTGGTATAACATATAACTCAGAACAAGATATTTGTAATCTTTTTGCACAATATTTTCATTCTAATTACCTTCAACCAACTAAACCAGATGATATCTCACGCTGTACATCATCTTTCGCATCAAACGATATCTCTACAATAAATATAAATTACTTTGAAGTAGAGAGGCTATTAAAGTCGCTTGACTTAAAAAAATCAGCTGGCCCTGATGGTATACCAGCTTTATTTCTAACAAAATGTGCTGGAACTTTATCTAAACCTATAACTTTTATTTTTAGAAGATCTATTAATGAGGGCTTAATGCCATCAAGATGGAAATCCGCATTTATAACCCCAATACATAAAAAGGGTCCACAAAATATCATTGAGAATTATAGACCAATTTCTAAATTAAACCTCATTGCTAAGGTCTTTGAAAGAATTGTATACAACCAATTGTACCCGGCGATCAAACATACTATTATTCCCCTACAGCATGGCTTCCTTCAAAAAAGATCCACTACGTCCAATCTTTTGCTATTTACGGATTTCGTTTCATATAATATGGATAAAGGATATCAAATCGACGCCATATATACCGATTATAGCAAGGCATTTGATCGTATTGATCATGCTATATTAATGGAAAAGTTATCGACAGCCGGAATAAGAGGTGACTTATTTAGATGGTTTACATCCTATATCTCTAATAGATCACAAGCGGTAATTCTGAATGGATTTACATCTTCCTGGGTGCCTGTCCCCTCCGGAGTCCCGCAAGGTTCTTTACTTGGCCCTTTGCTCTTCGTAATTTTTATTAACGACATAAGTGAATGCTTTTTAAACACAAATTTTTTACTTTTCGCTGACGATATGAAATTATTTAGAATAGTTAATAATTTCGACGATGCGCTATACTTACAAAACGATCTACTCAATTTTGACAATTACTGTAGGCGAAATAAACTTGATATTAACGTTGAAAAATGTTTTTGTGTGTCTTTCGGGCGTAAGCGTAATATTAACATATTTAAATATACCCTTAAAGGCTCAGAATTATCCAGGTGCAACGAAATAAGGGACTTGGGTATTACCATTGACAACAAATTACTATATGACCAGCACATTGAACAAATTGTTAATAAAGCATATAAAGCTCTTGGCTTTATCATTAGATCATGTTCCAGTTTCCGCAATTTAAAATCTATTAAAATTTTGTATTGTTCACTTGTTCGAAGTAATCTGGAATACGCAAGTCAAATATGGAATCCTCAGTACAATATTTACGTTAATAAAATTGAATCCATCCAAAAAAGATTCATCAGATATGTGTGCTCAAAATTCCGCATTCCCAAAGAAAACTACGAGCTGCTGTGTGGTCGTCTTCACCTTCTCCCTCTGCAAACTAGACGTTACACGGCAGACCTGGTTTTACTATCAAAAATCGCTCAGGGCCACATAGACTGTCCAGACTTATTAAAGAAATTACTTATCTCAACCCCCACTCGTTCACTACGTTGTAACAATCTCTTACACATACCTTCTTATCGCACTAACTACAGACGCAATTCCTTCTTTATAAGAGCATCTAATTCATTTAACAGACTATCTAAAGACTATGATAAGGTGGACCTTTTCTGTACCAACAGTTCTGCCATTTGTAAATTAATCACCTCCAATTTTAGCAACAGTCAACAATTTAATAACAATCAATAATTTTATAACATTAGTTTGAACCGGCAGTAAAGTGAATTTGTTATTTATGTATGACTATTGTTTATCTATATGTGAAAACTTTTTATTGGCTTAGATTGTAATTTACATGTATGTTATATTTTGTTAAGATTAAGCTGTTAGTTTTCCAGTAAATAAATAAATAAATAAATAAATAAATAAACATTCATACCCAAAAATTGTAAGGTAGACCCATTTTTGGTCAAAAGTGAAAATATATATTATGTCATAATATGTAATTTCATACTTTTTCTTCCAAATTTGCTCTTACCCGGTGTTGGCTTACAAATACTTAATTATTTATTGATACTTTTATAGATAATATATTAGATATATTTTTGTTCACATATATATTTTTTGCAGTTTTTCTGGAGATCCGAACATAAAAAATTTGGATATAAGCCACAGGAGGCTTAACCGGAAGGCCTAAGAAAAATAGCTATATTCGCTCATGAAATGTTTTTTCAGACTAACTTCTTATCCGTACATCGCAAAAGATATTTGTAGGATAATACAATTCTACGAAAAGAAATTGTATACATAACATTAGCACCAGTAAGTGTGATCCTATGAAAAGGATTAATTCAACATCTAAGAATGTGATGGCCCGAAAAAAGGTGACAGCACTGAAGAAAAAGGAAATATAAAACACGAAGCGTGGTAATCACTCATTGGCTGTAATAACTGTTTCCTAAGTTTAAATTTAACCAAATAAAATATCCTATAATAAATCATATGTAAAATGTATATTTGAAAAATATATCGACATTCGATATCATTTCATGTTGGAAATAGAGTTACTAAAAATATCATACGGCAATTGTTCAACAAATAATATATATTTTCCCAAGATAAATAAAAAAAAATAATTTACAGAAAATATGAAAACTTGCTTTTAAAATTTTCGGCAAACACGAAAGTCAGCATATGTCTACAAGATCGTTTAATGATTACGGATGTATTTAATTATTACGGCTCATTATGAGTCCATGCATTGGTGGTTATTGGTTACCGGTAAATCACTAAATAAGGCAACATCCCTAGCTGTGATACCATTATATACAACTCTGTGTTAAAATTATCGGGAATATGTCAATAAAAAGACCCGCGTAAAAGAGGTCGTTCTAATTTTTTTACTGCATGTTGGTAGCACTGTACTGATTTAGCGCGCAAAGTTTGGGCGGGATCTGTCATTTAATTTACTTTTTGTTGGTCATAGTTTTGAGTTCTCGGCGATTTTTACAATGGAAAATATTGTTGAACAAAGAGTGTGCCTTAAATTTTGTGTTTCGAATGATATTTCATGTGGTGAATCACTAAAAATGTTGCAAAATACCTACGGCGAATCGTGTATATCGAAAACAAGGGCTTATGAATGGTATAAGGCTTTTAAAGAAGACCGAGAAGTAGTAGTAGACTTGCCTCGTTCTGGTAGACCTTCAACCGCTACGACCAAAGAAAACATCGACAAAATCAAGAAGCTAGTGCTCGAAAATCGACGTATGAATCTAAGAGAGTTGGCTAGTGAGGTGAACATATCTTTTAAGTCCGTCCACAACATTCTCATTGACATTTTAGGCATGAAACGCGTCGCCGCTCGACTAGTTCCAAAAGAGCTCAATTTTGTTCAAAGAGCGCAGCGAAAGCATGTCGCTGAAGACATGGTTTCCCGAGCTTCTACGGATCCGACCTTTATGAACCGTATAATAACTGGCGACGAGACATGGGTTTATGAGTACGACATGCAAACAAGCCAACAGTCTTCAGAATGGCGTCTCGAAAACGAGCCGAAACCCAAAAAACCGCGGCAAAGTCGCTCCAAAATCAAGGTGATGCTGACAGTTTTTTTTGACTACCGTGGTGTGGTTCACTCCGAATTCCTTCCAAAGGGAGAAACAGTGAATAAAAAATATTATTTAGGCGTCATGAAGCGTTTGCGTGAGAGTATCCGCCGAAAACGTCCAGATTTGTGGCAACACAACTCATGGATGCTGCACCATGATAATGCACCATCACACACAGCCATTATAGTGAAAGAGTTTTTAGCGAAAAATTCAACAAAAGTTCTCGACCAAGCACCGTATTCACCTGATATGGCTCCGTCTGACTTTTTTTTATTTCCCAAGTTAAAATTACCACTTCGAGGAAAACGTTTTGAGTCGATAGAAGCCATAAAAAAAAATTCGCTGAATGAGCTAAAAGCCATACCGCAAATAGCCTATGAAAAATGTATGGAAGACTGGGTGAAGCGTTGGAGATGTTGTATTGCAAGCGATGGGGCCTACTTTGAAGGCGATAAAATAAATTTAGATGAATAATTTGTATTTTTTGTTTTATTGACAAATTTCCGATATTTAGTACACAGAATGTACTACAGTTTGCTTAAACGCACAGACTAATTTGATGCTACGCAACTTATACTTATTCAACAACTTTTTATTTACTATCTACTATCATCATTGTATTTGCGGTTATTTGGCACACTATTTGCAAATAAATATGTACAAAAATTTAAACGATTTCTTTTTTTTTGTCGTAAGTCTAAAAAGTACAAATTTGCTCAATCTGTCAACACAGTTATTCCTTCTATTTCTTTTCAGAAAGAGATGATCTGTAAATATTCGTTGTGAATCCGTTGTTATTGCCTTGGAATAAAGTCTAATTTTATGTAATAATAAAATGTGTTTGTAACATTTATTTATTGGAATTTGTATAACCAATGAGCAAATTGGGTTAATAGTAGTGGTAATACGACGTTACCGCTTATATATGCTCCCGGCGACATCGGTTTCAGTAAAAACATCTTACTTAAAGTAGTATTAAATTGCGCAGTGATATAAATGTATGCGTCTTAATGCAACCAAGGAAAATGTAGTAGTTGTTTTCTTAAGGAGGACTTCATTTAAAATATTTAAAAATGACTGCATTTTATAATCTCACTCTCTCACTCTCAATCTCACTCAAAATCTCAGGTGTCCCGTAAACGATGCTGCCACATTATGTCTTCAGCTTTGACAGTTGGCTCTTTCTGGCAGACAGATCTCTGGCAAAGACTTTGGAGCCTTGGTTCCGCTCGATCGCTTCTTCAATACGAGCTGTATTGAAGTTGCGTAAGTCCCGCCGCATGCATTTGGAGATCTGTCTGTTCAGATGCCTGTATGCTGTCAAGTCTGTTGAAGAATGTAGCTTCATCTCCCGTCTAACAGCCATGAGATTAAGAGTGTGATCGGAGAGTTTTTGTGTCCTTCTGCGGCGGGTCTTGCAGAACTTAGCTCCGACCGCATGAACAGTTTCCACGAGCTTGTCATTCATATCGTCCACTTCATTGCAGTCTTCTAAGCACTGAAAACGGTTTTGTAACTCGAGCTGAAAGGTTTCGGGACTTTGGATTAGAGCACGAGGGGGACGGAGCGTTGACTTCATTAGACGAGACCTCTCCAACTTAACGTTTAGGTTCAGTGTGCCTCTAACCATTCGGTGATCGCTACCAGTTTTCACCCTCGCGATCACGGAGACATCACTGAACAGTTGTCGTCTGGTCGTCATAATGAATTCAACCCATTAGTGCTACATATATAATATAGCTGCAGCGTAACTCTACTCTACTACATAAAATATAAATATGTGAGCGTTTTGATATGACCTTGACATCTATGAAAATTAGATTTTTTTGTAATATATACTTTCTAACCCTTCGTTTTATAACAGCCTTGACGCCCCGTATAATGTTTTCTCTCTATTTAAATATTAATACAAATTGAGCTTGGAGAGACAAGGTTCGCATGATTCCAAATATCAAATTATCTGCAGATTCGAGTAAATTGAAAGCCTTGGTAGATTTTTCAATATAACTTTGCGTATAAATGAGTAAGTATAGGATTTTAATGTAATTTTTTTGCTTTTTTGCTATAAGATGGACTGTTGGCTGTTAAGAAAAGGCAATGGCTATTGGTAAAGCAAGTTAACAATTTAATTTATAAATCTAATAAAATACATGGTACTTATCTTTAAACCCTCCCTTCCCTAATCCTTCCTTTATGCTCGTATCGCCGTTGAAGGCGACGCAAGCGCCACGCAGCGGCAGTTAGTTGCAATCGATTAATAACCGTGACCGCACGAGGGACATTAGGTCCTTCGATCTCCTCTTTAATATTAATTATCACCAGAGTTTTATTACATGGTAGAGCACGGTTCTAGCCATGCTGCAGCTATATTAGTAGTATAGTTGTAGCACGAATGGGTTGGCTCGACCGGGGAAGGATCCCGCTCTCACAGAATACCAGCGTAAAGTAGCAGCTTGTGTAGAACAAACAAACAACAACAAACAAAGTGTAGAGAACCGAGACTTTTATTACTGGAAATGAGGCATTCCATCTTAGTCCTAACGGGTGACAACGCATATGCATTTTTATAATCTAATCGAGGATAGATGTAGATGTCTATGGGCCGCAGCAACCACTTACCATCAGGTGGACTGTGTGCTCGTTTGTCACCCTTATAAAAAAAACAGAGATTGAGTCCTAGTAGTAGTTCGAGAATGTGAGGTGCCTTCCGCGATTACAATAAGGACTTCCTAGAACTCGGTGACATCCTAGACTATCCAACGTGCGCCGATCCACGTGGCAGATCTGCTGTGTTACCTGATACTCCGGGAGGAAGCCGAGGCGGTCTCTCACAAGTTTAGTGCGTGCATCCCATTCTCATCCACTTTCCTTACTCTGCATGTTGTATGTACCACAGTCCACAAATCTTTATCGAAGAAACCCACATTACTGGCGCGTCCAGCTATAACAATCTGTTTATCTTTTTTTTCTTTCTGTTAGTTAAGTTGCATCAATATTGCATAAAACGAAAATAATTTATTACTTATATAAATAGAATTATTGACTAAATTGACAATATATTTTAGAACAAAATAAACAAAAGATAAAAGAAAATTATTAATCTTTTTTTCATCTTTTACAATAAAAGCTTAATGTAAAATCGCAGTTAAGTTATAAAATTACGTCAATTTATAGGTCGTCAAGTAAGTTGTATATAATTTATAACCGTTGGTAATATTCGGATTCCTAGCAAAACTTAACACCAATGAACGGGAACAATTTAATTGAAGCGTCTATTCATAATCCTTTCGCAGTGAATGTTAAATTATTATTTCTAATGACACAGAAACTTTGGTTTTCGGTAGAGGGCTGAATTTCAATTGCAAAATTAGAGAACGCTTTATTAATAAAGTTTTTTCCGTTATCAAAATTGATTAAATTTGATACAGAATTTATTACGTGCCTGTTATCTGTTTGTAGAAAATTATAATTAAGTTAGTTTAGATTTTCAAAGTATGGGTATTTTTGAACTACCTGTTTTACTTAATATAAAATAATAATCTAGTTTAATAATAGTTCTGATACACGCGGGAAAGTCCTAAAGAAGCAGTTGTCGTTTCGTCATTGGTTTGACAAACTTAACTTCCAGAGACACAGATAGTTTCAGAGTAATATTTCTTTATAATTCAGTACGTTTATAATATAATTAGCTAAATTTATTAGCATTTCAATAGGTTATCGTAAAAATAATATATATTTAGAGGATATATGTTTTATTGCTTACGCAATTAATAACTAACAATAATAATACAGCGTAACACACTACACATTCAGCGTAGCGCAATCACAATTCGAACTTATGTGGTAGAGCCATGCTGCAGCTATTTTATGGTTGCAGCATGAATGGGTCGGCTCGACCGGGTAAGGACCATGCTCTAACAGAATACCAGCGTAAAATAGTAAAAATTTTCGCTGGTATTTTGTGAGAATCCCTCTCTCAACTTTTAGGCTGAGATCTATAGACCGTACTTTGATTTCGCTCAGACTTTACTTTCGAGCTAAGACAACAGCAACAGACAGACAACAGAAAACATCTGGCCGCCGAGCTTCAGCACGTCGAGCAAGTACTGCAAGACAACAAGCTTCGGGTCCCGCGCCTACGTCACAGTGACCGAGTGAAGCCAGCCACAGTCGAGCGTGTGCCTGCTGTACTACCCTATGTCAGAGGAGTCACAGACAAGGTTGGCTACATCTTGAAGCGAGCTTCCATTATAACATACTTCAAGCCGCTGAAGAAGATTGGTCAATTTTTACCATCCGTCAAGTGTCATATCCCTCTACAAGATGCAGAAGTGTACAAGCTGGATTATAACGTTTAAGAACATATAGCTTACGTGAAGCACCGACGTATCGGGAAGTCAGCAGTTTGTGAACATGTTCAAGATCGTCCCCGCCATTACATTAGATTTGATAGACCACAAATCCTCGCAAAAGAACACCGATTCCTCCCAAGGATGATTCGCGAGGCTATTGAAATAAAAAACATCCTAATTTCAATAGAGAAGATGGATGGGTGCTGCCATCTGCTTGGGATCCCATAATGAATAAAATCAAATCCAAACCCAAGTATACCACTGCTAGACCTCAAGATACTCTAAGCTCATTCTGCGTAAATCGAACCAAAAATTAATATTAAAAAACTGAAGGTAGCCGAGCTAACTATGACAGCAGGACGTCAAACACCTCAGTACCCCGTGACCACGGGTGCTGGAAAGCATCCGAAACGTTGGGAATATAAAAATAAGTTAATATACGCGATAAAATCCGTAAAATTAGTTTTATTTAAAAATAGAAAAAAAATCTTGTTTTTTTTTCTAATTTTGCACTCTTCTCATCCGTTCCCGTTCAATTACGCTCGTTTTCTATTTCATGTAATAATAACTTACTTATGTAATCAATTTGAACTGTTTTTGATATTTAAATATTTTTTTATACAGTACTAGCTGGTACCCGGCGCGTTGCAGCCACAGAAGAACTAATTTTGGTAATATCGTTTTAAATTTGGAAGAGTTATATTATTAGAAATGACAATACATTCATTGATGTTAAATGATATATAACTTACAAATGTGTCGGTGCTATACGCTCGCCACCTACTGTAAGTTAATTGTACTATGCCCATAACAACCCATACGTACCTAAGTATAAAATAATAATAAACACGTATTGTCAGAAATTTGGGGATCTATGAAAACCTTAGTTAACACTTTCATTCGAAGTCAGATGTTCTGTGGGCAAGAAGCCAACTACAGCCACTACAACCCATCAAGCCCCACGATTCTTTATACCATACCAACGTTATTCAATTGTTTTGTCTTCCCGGAACCCCTCCACTAACATTTAAACTTTATCGTATGATATTAAAGTTCAAATTGACTTTTAAGTATTATTACGAAGCTTTCGTATGGGAATATAGAAAAGTGTTGTTTTTAGAC